ACGGAAAAATAAAAGTGTCCAGGAGCGGGAACAACCTTCTGCTTACCGGGCAGGTGCCATGTTTGTATAGCTTTATTCTCTAATTTGTTCATAAGATGACCATCACTCACATCTCATCGCACTTTTTCTGTTGTTGTTAGTGTCAACAAGTTTGACAAAGTGTGGACAAAATTGTCCCTGTCTCCCTAATATATATCTAAAGAGACAAGGGTCGTCTCTATATTTTTACCATAGATTTGGCCCAGCCACTTTGCCAGCTAAACACCTCTTTGGCAGATTGTCAAGATTCCATTAGATCCCGTGTGGATCTCATGGAATAAAGTCCGCCCTAGACTGACGAGGGCCATTAGCCTGAAACCATGGTCTCTAGGTGGACGCTTTTCAGTTTGCCAAAGCTGGTGTTGTGGCTTTGTCACCGACCCGAGGCCGCTAGTTTGCGGCGACGGTCAATAGATGGCGTCTAGTTTTGATGTCTATTTTGACGGGAGAGGCGACCCTTGTCTCTTTAGATCAATATCCTCCCGGAAAAATTTCCATCTATAGATGTATATATTAAAAATAATGAAGGCATATCCTGACCAGGAGCACATGTGCTTTTTAGATGGTAGAGCACCATCTAGTGGAACAGAATCTTTTTGGTCCCAGTGGTTTCTTGAGTAACCAAGGAAGTAGTAAGTCTTTAATATCGTCGATCGTCTATTTTTTTAAGAAGACAGAGGCTGTTCACACTTGGTTATCTCGTGTGTCTTCAATAAAGGCCACTGTAATATCTTTCAGAGTTATTGTCTGAATCCCGATATACATGCTAAAAGGTATAACTTCCTTAAGTTTTGTCCATGAGTGTATCCTTCAGAGTTATTGTCTGAATGCCGATATACATGCTAAAAGGTACAACTTCCTTAAGTTTTGTCCATGAGTGTATCTTTCAGAGTTATTGTCTGAATCCCGATATACATGCTAAAAGGTACAACTTCCTTAAGTTTTGTCCATGAGTGTATCTTTCAGAGTTATTGTCTGAATCGCGATATACATGCTAAAAGGTACAACTTCCTTAAGTTTTGTCCATGAGTGTATCTTTCAGAGTTATTGTCTGAATCCCGATATACATGCTAAAAGATACAACTACCTTAAGTTTTGTCCATGAGTGTATCTTTCAGAGTTATTGAATGAATCCCGATATACATGCTAAAAGGTACAACTTACTTAAGTGTTGTCCATAAGTGTATCTTTCAGAGTTATTGAATGAATCCCGATATACATGCTGAAAGGTACAACTTCCTTAAGTTTTGTCCATGAGTGTATTACTATGCGAAAACAATGATGAAGTAAAATAGAGAAAACTTATGTAAGAATGATGTAAAAACAGGAATATGGGATAGATTTGGTAGAATAAAAAATATAAAGAGTGATCTTTCCACCCACACTGTACCATGTGGTATTTTTACATTCTTATCTCCCCATATGGAGCGAGTATTTTTCCTTACAATTTCTTTCCTTCAACCTACATAAGACTTCAAGCTCGCCTCTTTGTTCCTGTCCCAACCTAAAACACTAAGGTGAAGTCTGAAACACTTTTATAACTTCAATGTAATAAGACCAAATCCAAATAGAGTGTGACATTTCAGTAACAGCATTGTTACCATCATCAGACAAAATTACTGAATGAATACAAAATGAATAAAAATTTGCCTTATCATTCTTATAAACATAGGGAACATCTCTTAATTGTGAAACTAAAAGTTACTGATAGCTTACGCCATCTATCGGAATAAATATCAATTAATCGTTCATTTCTTTAAATTATTCCAGAATTAGGAATTTTTATTTGTGGAAGAGCTTTGCTTGATGCAATATCTTGTAATTCTATGTATGTATCTCTACAGACCTATAAGCTTATGTCCATAGTTCACTAAACACCCCTAAGCTGTCTTCCATAGAAAATACAGGGTATACACCAAACCAATCCAATACAATAGTAGAGCGGTCTAGAGATTAATTTGGTAAAACCGCTGAGTGGGTTCACTACTGATGAGCCATGCTACGAGGTGTGTTCAATAAGTATCGCGACTTTTGTGTTTTTTCAAAAATTATCTATTTATTCATGAATACCTATTTTGTCCCCTTCAAAGTAATCCCCATGAGATATTATACACTTGTTCCAACGGTTTTTCCAATCTTCGAAGCACTTCAAAAAATCATTTTTTTAAAATCTTTTTCAGCTCCTCCTTCGATGCCGTCTTTATCTCGTCAAGCGTAGCGTAACGTCGTCCTTTCATGGGCCTCTTCAGTTTAGGGAACAAGAAAAAGTCACAGGGGGCCAGATCTGGGGAATACGGTGGCTGCGGCATCATTAGTGTGTTGTTTTTGGGCAAAAGGTCGCGCACAAGCAACGATGTGTGAGCAGGGGCGTTATCGTGGTGCAAAAGCCAATTTTTTTCTTCCACAAATCCGGGCGTTTCTGGCGTATTGCTTCGCGCAAATTGCGCATAACTTGCAGGTAATATTCCTTATTGACCGTTCTACCCTGTGGCAAGAACTCATGATGCACCACGCCCCTGCAATCGAAGAAAACTGTCAGCAAAACTTTCACATTCGACCGAACTTGGCGCGCTTTTTTCGGTCTTGGTTCGTGCGGCAGCTTCCATTGAGATGATTGAGCTTTGGTTTCCACGTCATAACCATAAACTCACGCTTCGTCACCAGTTATGACCCTCTGGAGCAAATTTGGGTCGTCGCGGACAGAGTCTAACATCTCATTAGTAATGTTCATGCGATGCTGTTTTTGGTCGCAATTGAGCAATTTTGGTACGAATTTCGCGGCGACCCGTCTCATGCCCAAATCATTGATAAAAATCGAATGGCACGAGCCAATCGATATGTTTAGGTCCTCAGCAACTTCTCTAACGGCGATTCGACGATTGGCCAATATCATTTTCTCCACTTCATTAAATTTTTCGTCTGTTGTTGAAGTGCTCGGGCGTCCGGCACGCTCTTCGTCGTTCACATCTTCCTGGCCTTCTGAGAACATTTTGTACCACCGATAAACGTTGCTTCGGTCCAAGGTAGCTTCTCCGTATGCCACAGTCAACATTCGGAATGCATCCGCGCACTTAATTTCGTTTTTCACACAAAATTTGATACAGGTTCTTTGACCCATTTTTTTAAAACGGTAAAATCGAAGACGATCCAAAACACCTGCAAGCAAAGCAGCTGTCAACAATTAAGTGAACATTCAAAATGGCCGAGCTTGTCGGCATAAGTGAGAGACATGAGTACCAACATAAAAGCCACAAAAAGATCGAAATTCGAATATAGTTAACCCGCGAAAATTCAAAATTCGCGATACTTTTTGAACACACCTCGTATTTCATTCAATAACTTATATCATTACAGTAAGGTCTGTAGAGATAATATTTGATGATATTATTGAAAAGAAACACATTGCCAGTAAATATATTTGTTACAGTAAGGTCTGTAGAGATAATATTTGATGATATTATTGAAAAGAAACACATTGCCAGTGCATTTATTTGTTACAGTAAGGTCTGTAGAGATAATATTTGATGATATTATTGAAAAGAAACACATTGCCAGTGCATTTATTTGTTACAGTAAGGTCTGTAGAGATGATATTTGATGATATTATTGAAAAGAAACACATTGCCAGTGCATTTATTTGTTACAGTAAGGTCTGTAGAGATGATATTTGATGATATCATTGAAAAGAAACACATTGCCAGTAAATATATTTGTTACAGTAAGGTCTGTAGAGATAATATTTGATGATATTATTGAAAAGAAACACATTGCCAGTAAATATATTTGTTACAGTAAGGTCTGTAGAGATAATATTTGATGATATCATTGAAAAGAAACATATTGGCAGTAAATTTATTTGTTACAGTAAGGTCTGTAGAGATAATATTTGATGATATTATTGAAAAGAAACATATTGGCAGTAAATATATTTGTTACAATAAGTTCTGTAGAGATAATATTTGATGATATTATTGAAAAGAAACATACTGGCAGTAAATTTATTTGTTACAGTAAGGTCTGTAGAGATACTATTTGATGATATTATTGAAAAGAAACATACTGACAGTACATTTATTTGTTACAGTAAGGTCTGTAGAGATAATATTTGATGATATTATTGAAAGGAAACACATTGCCAGTAAATATATATTTGTTACAGTAAGTTCTGTAGAGATACTATTTGATGATATTATTGAAAAGAAACACATTGCCAGTAAATATATTTGTTACAATAAGGTCTGTAGAGATAATATTTGATGATATTATTGAAAAGAAACATACTGGCAGTACATTTATTTGTTACAGTAAGTTCTGTAGAGATAATATTTGATGATATTATTGAAAAGAAACACATTGTCAGTAAATATATATTTGTTACAGTAAGGTCTGTAAAGATAATATTTGATGATATTATTGAAAAGAAACACATTGTCAGTAAATATATATTTGTTACAGTAAGGTCTGTAAAGATAATATTTGATGATATTATTGAAAAGAAACACATTGCCAGTAAATATATTTGTTACAGTAAGGTCTGTAGAGATACTATTTGATGGTATTATTAAAAAGAAACACATTGCCAAAAGAAATTGTTATTTTATCAATATTTTATGTGTGCTAAAGTAAGTTATTCTATAATTTAATCATGTTTTTTAATGGTTGAATTGGTAATATGGGATGGATTCTCAAAAAAATCGTCGATAAAAAAAATCTTTCCTATTGAAATGGAGGTAAAAAAATGGCATCTGTTGTTACATAACCAATCTCAAAGATATAGGTCAGTATGGATTTCTCAACAGTGGTGTGGTTTTTTGCATCAATTTAGAAGGAAGAAGTGTTTTTTATATATTTTATTGATATTGATATAATGGTATATATATTGAGGTTGTGTGTGTGTGTAATTTATGGGATTGGCACATCAAGATGAATCTTATAATTGACTTTATATTTCAACGGCTTCGGGAGATTTAGCTCAGATGGTAAAGCACTCGCTTAACATGTGAGAGGTACCTGGTTCGAGTCACAGCGTATCCATCTTTTTATTTTTTTCTGGGGCTTTGAAGTGTAGTGGTATAAAGTGCCGGGTTTTGACAACCAGAGCGTAAGTTCGAATCCCGCATTGGTTACTTTTTTTTTTAAATTAAATAAATTCCTTAGAGAAAATTATATAAATATATATATATATATATATATTTAATATGAATATACTATATAAATATATACGAACAATATTTTTATTATTTTAAGCTATAAATGACGCAAAAAAATAATAATATTTTGAAGGATGAAATTGCTCCAATGGCCCTCGATTCTTGCAAAAGTCTTTAGAGTAAAAGACAGTCGCTAACTACCCACCAGGATTATCATGGCCAATACCAGGTGTAGACAGGACAGGCTGGAGTTGAAGACTCCACAAATTCCATGAACCTTGAAGTGTTCAATGGGCGTGGTTGATTTCACCTGGGTACAATGGCCATGGTTCCATTCCCACATTGAAATAATTCTTCCTCAGTTCCTATCATGGCTCACTCGACACATTTCATACTCCATGGGACCTGTATTTACACTCATGGACAAACTTAAGGAAGTCTTATGTCGCCTATTGTTTATTTTATTGAAGGAGACAGAGGGCTCGTGTGTCGTCAATAAAGGTCACTGTAATATCTTTCGGAGTTATTGTCTGAATCCCGATATACATGCTAAAAGGTACAACTTCCTTAAGTTTTGTCTATGAGTGTATCTTTCAGAGTTATTGTCTGAATCCCGATATACATGCTGAAAGGTACAACTTTTTTAAGTCTTGTCCATGAGTGTATCTTGCCGAGTTATTGTCTGAATTCCGATATACATGCTAAAAGGTACAACTTTTTTAAGTTTTGTCCATGAGTGTATCTTTCAGAGTTATTGTCTGAATCCCGATATACATGCTAAAAGGTATAACTTCCTTAAGTTTTGTCAATGAGTGTATAAAAAAATGTGCACCTATCCCAAGTTTGTCCAGGACGTGTCAAGATAATCATGGTGGGTAGTTAGCGACAGCTTGGCCTGTACTACGTGTACTAGGAATAAGCAAAGAAAAAAATATTAAATTTAACACCTATTTTTTATAGTTAAACTGGTTAAATAAAGACTGGAAATGCGTATGTGTTCATTACATAACAGCTCTATTTTTTACCGTTTCTAATGGAATGTTAGCTGGCTTTATCTTGTGGAATGTGTATAAAAAATAATTAGAAAGTTGTTCAGGTGTTGATTCAAGTATTAGAAACAACATAGAGACACAAAGGTAGAACATCCATTGTCAGAAACCTTCCTCAAAACGTTAAACTTCATTCTTGAGAAATTGAAGTTAAGAAAGCTGGTTTCTTCCATTGTTGGTTTAATTGGAAACTATATTTTGTGTCTGGAGTTATTTAACTTGTTGAATCATTAGCGGGTTTTCTACTTTAGGAATCTTCTTTTTGGATTTAAAATATTTTTAAGGTACAGTAGAACAATCTCTCTGTAAAGGACAACACCTAGTTACAGAGCCAAAGTATCCTTTAGGGAGAGATGTCTTCTTACCAGAGAGTTGCTACAGTAGAACTACCTCTCTGTAAAGGACAACACCTAGTTACAGAGCCAAAGTGTTCTTTAAGGAGAGGTGTCCTCTTACCAGAGAGTTGCTACAGTAGAACAACCTCTCTGTAAAGGACAACACCTAGTTACAGAGCCAAAGTGTTCTTTAAGGAGAGGTGACCTCTTACCAGAGAGTTGCTAGAGTAGAACTACCTCTCTGTAAAGGACAACACCTAGTTACAGAGTCAAAGTGTCCTTTAGGGAGAGGTGTCCTCTTACCAGAGAGTTACTACAGTTGAACTACCTCTCTGTAAAGAACAACACCTAGTTACAGAGTCAAAGTGTCCTTTAGGGAGAGGTGTCCTCTTACCAGAGAGTTGCTACAGTAGAACTACCTCTCTGTAAAGGACAACACCTAGTTACAGAGACAATGTGTCCTTTAGGGAGAGGTGTCCTCTTACCAGAGAGTTGCTACAGTAGAACTACCTCTTTGTAAAGGACAACACCTAGTTACAGAGTCAAAGTGTCCTTTAGGGAGAGGTGTCCTCTTACCAGAGAGTTGCTACAGTAGAACTACCTCTCTGTAAAGGACAACACCTAGTTACAGACACAATGTGTCCTTTAGGGAGAGGTGTCCTCTTACCAGAGAGTTGCTACAGTAGAACTACCTCTCTGTAAAGAACAACACCTAGTTACAGAGACAATGTGTCCTTTAGGGAGAGGTGTCCTCTTACCAGAGAGTTGCTACAGTAGAACTACCTCTTTGTAAAGGACAACACCTACTTACAGAGACAATGTGTCCTTTAGGGAGAGGTGCCCTCTTACCAGAGAGTTGATACAGTAGAACTACCTCTTTGTAAAGGACAACACCTAGTTACAGAGACAATGTGTCCTTTAGGGAGAGGTGTCCTCTTACCAGAGAGTTGCTACAGTAGAACTACCTCTCTGTAAAGAACAACACCTAGTTACAGAGACAATGTGTCCTTTAGGGAGAGGTGTCCTCTTACCAGAGAGTTGCTACAGTAGAACTACCTCTCTGTAAAGAACAACACCTAGTTACAGAGACAATGTGTCCTTTAGGAAGAGGCGTCCTCTCACCGGAGAACAACTAAATAATAAAAATGGTAATTTTCCAAAGGAAAGCAGTCAACTTTTATATAAAAAGGTGTCCTCTAGCGTAAGTGTCCTTTCATGGTGGTTGTTCTACTGTACACAAGCTTGTATCAAAACCACAGTCACCAAGTTTTACTGACCGTATTAAAGGTTCAAGGAACAAGGCAAACAACTCAAGGAAGGTCCTATATGTTCACCAAGCGTACAATTCCACTGCGGAAAACTTGCGAAGATTTTGTCTCTGCAATTGATTTCCTAAAATATGACATTCCACAGAACTAGGGTACGATGTCGGGAATTTCTTCCTGACCGACAATGATAGATTTTAATTGGTCAATTAATTATAACGTCGCTGATTCGACGAAGGGAAAGTGATGAGCTATTCATCATTTATATTTTTGAAGGGGTGAAGGACATACTTTCAACTTGTACTTGTGTTACCACTTTCAAAACCTTTGTTGAAGTATGCATATAGGGTTGTTGATCCTATTTGCATATATGCTATGATTAAATTTCGATTTATATTTATATATTGGTTCTTTTTGTCTATGCAAATCTGTATTTTGTTCAAACGGTATTAAGTTGTGACCTTAATTTTCGTTATTCACTTATTTTACATATTTGAATTGTAAAATTCTTATTGAAATTTGTTGTACAAAATGGATATTGATTTTAATTTTTTTTTGGTATTAATTAGCATATAGAAATAACGTGCTTTTAACTTATCAGGAATACTTTTGGTAATAAGTAATGGTATTCAATCCTGGTGGGTAGTTACGACTGTCTTTTACTGTAAGTACACCACATGTCTACATATGGTGCAGGCTATGATAATCCTGGTGGGTAGTTAGCGACTGTCTTATACTGTAAGTACACCACATGTCTACATATGGTACAGGCCATGATAATCCTGGTGGGTAGTTAGCGACTGTCTTTTACTGTAAGTACACCACATGTCTACATATGGTGCAGGCTATGATAATCCTGGTGGGTAGTTAGCGACTGTCTTATACTGTAAGTACACCACATGTCTACATATGGTACAGGCCATGATAATCCTGGTGGGTAGTTAGCGACTGTCTTTTACTGTAAGTACACCACATGTCTACATATGGTGCAGGCTATGGTAATCCTGGTGGGTAGTTAGCGACTGTCTTATACTGTAAGTACACCACATGTCAACATATGGTACAGGCCATGATAATCATGGTGGGTAGTTGATCCCTAATTAGACGGTAGAAACACTGAAGAAGACAGTGTTCCGAAGAGATTAGTAAGAAGCCCGGAAAGAAAAGGCTCCACCAGGACATGTTCCAGCCTTGTCCTTGTAGGCGCACGCTGTGGTCAATCTGGAACAGCTGGTGACGAAACTGGCCCATTGTCTGTCAAGTGAGGTGGTTGCACGGCATCATTCCCCTTAGTGGTGCACCGCCTTGGTAGCTGTTGGTGTCAAGTGTAGTGGGTGCATGGAACTACGTCCCTTAGAGGTGCACCAGCCTTAGTTATTGTCTGAATCCCGATATACATGCTAAAAGGTACAACTTCCTTAAGTTTTGTCAATGAGTGTATCTTTCAGAGCTATTGTCTGAATCCCGATATACATGCTAAAAGGTACAACTTCCTTAAGTTTGTTCTATGAGTTTAAATTCCATGATAAAATTCGAACTGTTCTTTAGAAGTTTCATATAAACTTAAAGTGTTCAAATATTATATGGAACATAAAAATACATTAGAAAAACCTCTCTGTAAAGGACAACACCTAGTTACAGAGCCAAATTGTCCTTTAGGGACAGGTGTCCTATTCCAGAGAGTTGCTACAGCAGAAAAACATCTCTGTAAAGGACAACACCTAGTTACAGAGCCAAAGTCTCTTTTAGTGAGAGGTGTCCTCTTACCAGAGATTTGCTAAATTGTGAAATTGTAATTTTGCAAATTAAAACTGTCCTTCGTAGAGAGGTGTCCGCTAAAGAGAGGTTCTACTGTATATGGAGAGAGAGAAAGAAGATGATTACGTAATTCCTATAAAAATCTTGAAGGAAACAGTTGGGTATGGAATCCACAAAAGTCTAGACTGGGGCAATCGAGCCAATTGATGCGGAAATACTCAATTTTCTGGTTGAAATGATACGAAGTCGATTTCTAATTGAAATCTTTTTATCTATTGAAAGATCTAATTGCTTTCGGAGATACGGTTAGAGGAAAACTGTATAGTGGAAGTTTTATCATCCATAGCTCAACTTACCCATTCGGCTCACGGGGTAGGTAATAGCTTTTCTTGAAGGTAATACAATCCAAGCTTTTATGCCAACTTCCTCTGAGCAACAAGGAAAAAAACACCGGAAAAACCTCAGGAAGGTATTAAC